TCTGTTATTCAGAAATTTTTCTTTCAAACTAAGAAAAAATCGCCTTACATTTTAGAAAATTTGCCCAATCGGTAGCCTAGGGGTCTAATGCGAGCGGATTATTTGTTTTCTACGCTTATATTCGGAAGCGTGTGTTCGATCCCACGTCGAGGCGGACATTTTTTGCGTCTTTTTTTTTTTTTTTTGCGCATTAAAATGTATACTTTAATACAAATAAGGATTTAGGTAAGCTAACACACACATAATGGATAAATAAGAGTATAAACCTAGAACCCAAGAGAACAGAATGAGAATGTACTTTGTACAGCGCCTCTCGTGATGCTTCCCTGGCGCAGCTAGTAGAGTGTTTGACTGCAAACTGTGAGGTAAGGGGTTCGAATCCCGCGAGCGACCAAAATGTTTTCCTCAAGATAGTAAGTTATTTGATTTTTATGTTTATCATTAATAAATAATATAATAATTTCAGTTATTATTTCAGTTACAATTAAAGATTAAAAGTGTGTTTGTGTACAAGCATCGTGACGTCATCCATGTGTTTAAATAGAGGAGAGAAAAATAAGTTGAAAAACGAGAACCCCAACAACAACACCCCACACCGACAGACTCTCCACCCAGTCGGCATAACTCCCGATTCCCCGATTTTTTTTTCTTCTTCTTATTCAATTTTGCAAAAACTAACCCTAAATTTAAGAAATTTTTTTTCTAATTTTTAGAAATATTTTTTCTAAAAGGCAAGGCGAGCTGCCTTTGGCTTAAAAAGTATGGCGATTTTCTAAAATTTAGGGTGATTTTTTTTCTGAGTGTACAACAAATAAATATATAACATAAAAAAGGTTAAATAAAATATTTTTTTAGTAAAGAGGAATATTTTGGAATATATTGGAAAAATATTTAGATAATATTGGAATATTTTAAATATTCAAAATAGTTTAAACCGCCATTGGACCAAAACCTACAATATATTCCAAATCAAATGTATTTTAATCGATTAAAATTATATTTACAATACAATTCCTTTATAAGAGAAATTATTACTTATACACCCAATGGGCTATAATTTTTGATCCCTACATTTTTCCAAGTTTTTAACATTTTTACAAGTAAAATTTTAGAAGTTATTTAGCTTTTATTTTTTGGGAAAAGTCGTATTTTTCCAGTGCAAACATGTGTTTAGAGCTGGCTTGTATGCATGTTGTACTTGGTGTTTATCCCAAAAATTATGCTCTTCGCATGCCTCTGGGTCGTCCGTTTTCCTGCCCCCTTCCGATTTCCCCACCTCACTTCGCCGTGCCGCCGCCCATGAATTACTTGGAATGTGTTTGTTGCGGCTGCTTGAAAGCAAAGCGAGCGGCTAAACATTTGCCAAGCTGTTGGCTGCCAGGCGACTCCTTCTGTTTCCTGGAGGATCCTTTACCGCTCTCCTCTTAGTCATACATATTGTGCCGAGCCTTGTTTGGCCTGCTCTGTGGCAACATAATCCAAACACACGAACACCCGCCACACGTTGCCAATTCGCAGCGACTGCGGCTTGTGTAAACTTTTGATAAAGTTTTAATTAATTAAGAGCACAGTTCTTGTAAATTAGACAAAAACGCTGAGTGTTTAATGGTAAAGATAACGATCAATAAGGGGAAGACATTATGGCAGCGAAATAGTCCAAAACTTTGTGGAATAGAAAATGAATTACTTTTAATTCGGAAGATATGAAAATCTGATGTTGAATAAAGTGACTTTGACAATAAGAATACACTCAGAATAATGATAATAATTTGATTTATTACAGACTTAAAAGGTTTGAAATTATCTATACAAACTTATCTGATTCCAAATTTTCAAAAATCCAAAAAATTCTTGAATTACTTTAAATTTACATTATAATTTAGATTGACTGCCTGCTGTGTCTTTTATGGTCGAACGTCTTAACCAAATAAGCTCTCTAAGCCAAAAACTCTGATTTTTATAACCTGTCGTCACATCGTCAAGGGTCTTAGCGCAAGTCCATCAAGGAAAGCTGTGAAGGAAATGCATTTGAGACCCTTGTCTTGAGGGTCTCATAAAATGCATAAATTTTTAATAAATGCCGCAGCGCACACAGGACACAAACAAGCACACACAGACATCCTGAAATATAAAGTCACAAAGATACATACAGTGTATATGGTGTGGAAAGAAGGGGAGAGCAGATAAAATGTGGTCAAGGGACCGATGAGCAGATGATAGCTTCGTCACCTTCCTTTGGGTGCTTTCTATCCACGAGCTCAGCAGAGAACAAAACACATTCCCCCTTTAAGAAAATATAAAAATTAAAAAATAAATTGTTTTTCTAAAAGTTCATTTAAACTGAATTAAATTATACAACAATACCTTGAAGTCTTGAAAGACCAAATAATTACCTTTAAGAAAAAAATATTTTTATAAACATTCTTGTATTAATAAAATTAGGTAAAAGGATATCTTCCAAGGATATAAAAAAAAACCCTTTCATTAACTAAAGCTAAAATTAACTGATGTTAAATATTGGCTTAAATAAATTAATTTTTTTTAATCTAAGTTAATTAACTGATGTTGAATATTTGGCTAAATAAATAACTTTTTTTAAGTTTACCATATCCTCTTTTCTCCTGTATTTCTATTCCCTATGAAAAAAGTCAGCAGCTTTCTTTGAAATAGTCTCAGCAGCCTGCTGGCTGTCATCAAGTGAATTGCAGACACACAATTGCTGCACATGTGGCTGCCCCACTTTCCCCCTTTCTGAGGACCCTTGGAACCCAGGCAATCTTGCGATTTGTGCCTCCATTGCGGTTTACCGATAACAGTTGCACTTATACCAACAATAAACGCCAGACAGCAACAGCAAAAATAAATGTCGAACAACAACGATGATGATTGCGTTGGGACGGCATTGTCGGGGGAATTTACACCTGTCGTTGGGTTGGGATTTAATTCCTTGTGCAAACAAACAAGGGCACGTGACACTGGGTTAAATTGTGAAAGAAATACCCTCAGATAACAGGAAACAGGAATACAAAATACGAAATAAAAGATTGTCTTCTAAGTTAAAACTTCCTAAGTATTTTTTCAATAAAAAAGTGGATTCAATTTTTGTTTTTAATTTATCTTTAATTTCTACATATCAAATCAATTCTAATGGTCTTTATTGGTACATTTTACCATATCAATAGTATTTAAAATGCAAAAGAACAGACAAATTAGTTAAATTATAAAATTTATTTATTGTCAGCTAAAATCACAAGAAAAATTAAACCAAAAAAAAAAGTTTGTAAATTAATTTGAATATTTCCCAATTTATACTTCTGTAACCAATTGTCTATTTTATGAACACATTGTTCCTTTCTCTCCTCCGACACCCAATTTCAAGATATATTCTTAGCTACATGGAATTTACGTCAAATATAACTCTAATTGACTGCACAACTGAAATCCCTCTCACCTGAACGCTGCAACCTGCAACCATTTCTGTCCAATGGACCATGTTTAATTGCTCTTAGCAACGATTTGTGGCCCACAAATATTGAGGCAATCGATATGCGATGCCAAGTTTTGGGAAAACGCGAACACAATGGCAATTAACTGAAATTACATATTTGTTTGAGTTTAATGATTATTAAAGTTACACGAAAGTGCAGAAAATACTGTTGATTGCGTTGCATATTTAATGTCAATTAAAATTCGAAATTCGTTTAATTTAATTTAATAATAATTTTATGAGGTAAAGCAACGCACATGACTAAATTTGCTGAAGGCGCTTGAAGTGTTAAACAACACGCAGTTTAAACAATTTTAAAATGCAAATTTTGCCATATTTGTATTTATACTATTTTAAAGAAATTTTCAACACAATTTTTCCAGAAAATAGTTCAAATTCTCTTCTACTTGCTATTAAAATTCGACGCTTTCAGTCCGGATTAGTTTCAAAAGTCTTGTCAGCAAATCTTTTGTATAAAATTTGATTTATGGCTTTGGAATTAGCTGACTTATATGCACAGCTATTTTAATTTAGCTTAACAAGGACAAAGACATCCTGATGAAAGTTAATTTGAGCTATAATCCCCACATGTGTTTTGGTTAAGTCAACAAAATTTTGATACGGAATGCATATCCAAACTAAGCGGCTTAAACGTCTCCATCTCCTTATACATACATACCTATATCCTTATAAGGATCAAGTGTTGACCCGTAATGGCTGGAATTTTCTGAATTTTGAGAAGGCAAATATTTTCACCTGATATTTGCATAAATGAAGCCCAGCTTTTCCTTCTGCCTAATATATTTACAGAAAGTGTCGAGTGAGGGGAGGTCGGAATATTAAAAAGTTGTTGGTTCGTGTTTGTTTGACTTGACAAATTGTGCCCAATTTAATTTAAATTTAAATGTTAACAAATCAAATTCAAGGCCATTCTCTTTTGAAATTTTCCAACTTTTCTGTGCCAATGCGCTGAAGCTGTAACCAGATGATTTATTTTATAATTTATAATTATTTTTCCAGAGTTTCGTTGTTCTACAAGCTGTTTGAAAAAGTTTTTAATTCCAAGGTGGTTTTCCAAGAATGCCAGTAAAAGCTATACCAAAGTTGCCAAAGTATCTGAACGTGAAGTGGCAAAACGAACACATTTGATTTGACTGAGTCACGCAAAAATTAAATAGTTTTTTAATAAGTGCCACTCGTAGACAATTATTTAAGCTGTAATTGGGTAAAGCAAAAAAAAATGCAAATAGCTATTAATATTCGATGGCCATTGAAAAGTTGTTGACTAAATTAAATTCCAATTAAATGTATAGCCTCAATTAGGAGAAAAAGCTCAATTGACTAGATTAAGTTAGCCACTGGTTTATCATGCTAGTTGAAAAACATTTCAATTAGTAGCGAATCAATTTTGGCCAGCGCAATATGCAAGTTGCAACTTAAATATTTAGAATAGTTAAGCAAACCAACAAACACGCATGAAAATTTTTATGTAATAATGAAATTTGTTTTGCAGGACCGCCAGCATGCAAAGCCATAACGAGAGGACGTTAGCAGCGTGGGAGAACTGATTAAAATAATTAAATTTGAATAGGTAGCGGAAAAGTGGGAAAGTGGAAAAATGTTTACGTGGCTGGTGATGGGCATCCTGCAGGCTGTTGGCGGGGACCTGACCTCCGATTCATTTGTGAACACCACAAATTGGTATAATACCAACGAGAGCCTGTACACCACGGAACTGAACCATAGATGGATTAGTGGTGGCTCCACCGTTCAGCCGGAGGAGCCTGTTTACAGCACCGAACTGCCCACCTATCAGCATTGCATAGCCACCCGGAACTCCTTTGCCGATTTGTTCACGGTGGTGCTCTATGGATTCGTTTGCATTATCGGATTATTCGGCAACACCCTGGTGATCTATGTGGTGCTGCGCTTCTCCAAAATGCAAACGGTCACGAATATATACATCCTGAATTTGGCGGTGGCGGATGAGTGCTTCCTGATTGGCATACCCTTTTTGCTATATACGATGAGAATCTGCAGCTGGCGCTTTGGGGAGTTCATGTGCAAGGCCTATATGGTCAGCACTTCGATCACCTCCTTCACCTCGTCGATCTTCCTGCTCATCATGTCCGCGGACCGCTATATAGCGGTGTGCCACCCGATTTCCTCGCCTCGGTATCGAACCCTGCACATCGCCAAGATAGTGTCGGCGATCGCCTGGTCCACTTCGGCGGTCCTCATGCTGCCGGTGATTCTGTATGCCAGCACTGTGGAACAGGAGGATGGCATCAACTACTCTTGCAACATCATGTGGCCAGATGCCTACAAGAAGCACTCGGGCACCACCTTTATTCTCTACACATTTTTCCTGGGCTTCGCCACGCCCCTGTGCTTCATCCTGAGTTTCTACTACTTGGTTATAAGGAAGCTGCAGTCGGTGGGCCCCAAGCAGGCCACCAAGTCCAAGGAGAAGAGGAGGGCTCATCGGAAAGTTACTCGACTGGTTCTTACGGTAATAATGGTGCTTATGTTTCACCAAAATATGTTGTACATTCTCTCTTAAATCGTTCAACAGGTAATTAGCGTGTACATTTTCTGTTGGCTTCCACACTGGATTTCGCAGGTAATTAATTGTAACTAATTGCAGAGGAATTTCTAATTTCTGATCTCATAGGTGGCCTTGATTCACTCGAATCCCGCCCAGAGGGACCTGTCCCGGCTGGAGATACTCATCTTTCTGCTTTTGGGCGCCCTGGTTTACTCAAATTCGGCAGTGAATCCCATACTCTACGCGTTTCTGAGTGAGAACTTCCGGAAAAGCTTCTTCAAGGCCTTCACCTGCATGAATAAGCAGGATATTAACGCTCAGCTGCAGGTGGAACCCAGTGTTTTCACCAAGCAGGGCAGCAGAAAGAGGGGTGGTTCCAAGCGCCGGCAGTCCACCAATCCACAGATGCCTCCCCTGCTGCCATTAAATGCTGGCAACAACAATTCATCGACCACCACATCCTCGACCACGACGGCGGAAAAAACCGGAACCACAGGGACGCAGAAATCCTGTAATTCCAATGGCAAAGTGACGGCTCCGCCGGAGAATTTGATTATTTGTTTGAGCGAACAGCAGGAGGCCTTTTGCACCACCGCCAGGAGGGGATCCGGTGCAGTGCAGCAAACCGATTTGTAACCCAGTTTTAGCAAGAATTTACTTTAAATAAATACAAGATGAAAAACATTTAAATATGTTGTAATACGAAGTATAAAAAGCATTTAAATGAATTTGTAATCCCTTTCTACCGCAAACATTATAATGAAATTGAGACTAAGCAGTATTAATGTGTGTCTAAATAATTGGAATATATTTATTAGCATAAGAATTGGAATTGAGGGAAGATTCTAATAGAATCCTTAACCGCACAACGATATATTAGCAATATATAAAAGTTGAGGGGATTGAAAAGGGATATTAAACAAAGGACAACAAAACAAATAAAATTAAAGTGGCAGAAATATTTATTTTCAAGGCAATATTCCAAGAAAGGGATTTAATAATAGTTCATATGAAGGTAATTACCCGCACAAGTATTTGTATATTTTACTGCCAACATAACATCTATCATTAGGTAAACTTTCACCATCGATCCTATACTGAATGTATAGCAGATAATACTTAAGAACTTTGAATCTATTCTCGTTTTAGAAACTTATCTTTAATAAATAAATGGTTGCTTCTGCAGTATATTTAATAATTATCCAAATAAGTAATTACACTGATTTATGCAATTAAAAGGGAATAAGACGGGATTGCGTAAAATAAGCAGCTTAGCCAGAAGTAAGTCAGTCAGCCAAGAAACTCGTAAAATGTCAAATAAAAAACTTTTTACGATTCCACCCTGCGGACGACGAAACCAGATGAGTCAATGCCACTATAAAAGTCTGCGGGTGTCGGAGGCTGAGTTTTAATTGAAAAAGTAAGAAAGCAACCTAGAATTTCGACATTTTAATATAAACATTTCTTTGTTTTAATTGTGTATATATGCAACGAAATTTTTAATATATGACTGGGTAAATATTGATGATAATATGCTTGGGTAAGAATAATTATAAATAATAAAAATATGTTTGTTTGACAAACAGTATCTCATGGAATGAGCTGAATATTATAAAAATTAGAATAAGAATTTAAATTACTTAAAGTGAATCTGCTTGAAAAAGTGTCAATAAAGCAATGTTTGTAAGAAATGTCTGTTTTGTTACTTGGAGCACTTTTTGGTCTAAGGGTTATTTATAGGATTGGTTACGGATTAAATGGATATATCGACGCAGTTTCTATTAACCAAGGCTGTGACATTCAACTTTAAATTTAACAAGAGAAACGCAATGCTCGAGTACCTCGACTATTAGATACCTGTTAGTCAGCTAAAGGAAGTGCAAAAGACTACTTGAATTCCATTATTTGCTCATAACTTTTTGATGAATGCTTCGATTTGAATAATTTCTTCTACATTTCGATAGGTATTATTAATGACATCGATAGAATCCAGATAACAAGTACATAAGTAAATTAAACATATTTTTATCGGGCTATCTGTTTGATCCTTTAGTTCAATTGAATGCAATTCAATGTTGAAATGCTACAAAACTTGACAACTTCGTTTCTCACCATTCATTTGTCTGTGAACAAATCTAAGACTTTTGTGAGAGCCTCGGGTGTATTTTTTCGTGCTGCTGCTGTTGTTGATTTATTTGGATACGATTGAACTGAAGTCGAGTTAAGAGCTTTTAAGCCAGCGCACTTTGGAGAACAACCTGCCAATATATTGTATTCTGGTTGCTGCACCGGCATTAAATCAAGTTTAGGAACTTGGCTTTCTGCCACTTTCCCGGCTTGCCTTTCCCCCATTGATTTATGCGTTTCAGCGCGCCAGCATAAAGAGTTGGGTTCGGAATGGATTCTCAAACATCCCAACGCTCACCTGCAAACTGCAGACGAAAGGTGAAAAGTGAGGAGTGAAAATGTTAACTCAAATATGGGAAAGCAATTCATTGAAAGGAAAAAATAAATAAATGCCAAGAACGTTTGAGCTTTGAGCTGTTTGCTGGGGGATTTGCGTAAGCCAAGAGATGGGGTAAAAGAAACGGAAGCTTAGCAACTTTTTCGAGTGCAAATTTGTGAGAATTTTCCGTGTTTGGTTTGGTTGGTTTATTTTACTTTCCTCCTGGCATCTGTATCATTATTACTCTTGACGTCTCAGAGCTTCGCTTCTTCTGGCCTTTGAATCCCCGATTCTCAACTGAGGATTTCCACAATAAGTTGTGTAACTTAAAGTATAATTCCTTTGATTTGTGAGGTGAAATGTGGCGAATTGCACGGTGATGGAATTCGGTTTTAATTAGTTGATTAGTTTGTGTGTTTCAAGCCCATCACAATTCTGCGGTTGCACCTGCAGTGCAATTGAATTAGAACTGTGGATATTGCGGTTTGCAGGTAACTCTTTGATTGAAGCGGTGTTCGCCATTGTTATCGGTTTCCCACAAATCGATTTTACCAGGTAAAACCATCTGGACATCTGCTCAGATGTCAATGTCAGGGGCAGCTAAAAGGCCCTCCGAAAAGTCCAGACAACTGCGTTTCAAAGCAGAGGTTGAAGAACCAAAGGAACCATCATTGTCATCAGCGTTAACAACGGGGATTGTTGGTCAAAACGATTGGAACTCCGCTATGGCTTGCAATCTGAAACGTGAGCTGTTAAAAGTCTCAGTTAACAGCACTGAAGAAAACAAAAATATTAGTAATTAATAACAAAAATTTTGTTAAGAAAAATTATAAATAAGAAAAATACTTTTATTAAAATATTCTAAATAAAACCTTTTTTATCTTCAGGTGTCTTTAGCACACTTACTCTTGTTAAAAAAGACTTGAAAATAAGAGGAATGTATTTTAAGAAATATTCTCAATATTACAACGCATTTTTTCTTAGTGTAATGCCGCAGTACCCAGCGAAAAGCTCTCGCAAAATACAAAACGTGACCCAGAAAAAGAGGAGTAAGAGCCCTTCTCGCAGGATCTGTTGCGTTTTCGGCTGGAGGAAGCTTTGTCTGGCCAGCTGGCGGCTTCCGGTCGCCGAATGCAACGCCAACTGGGAACTGGGAATCGCCCACATTGGGATCCACTTTGGCCCCTCACCTCCGGTTCGTGTGTCTGGCACTTACCATTTCATTATTGCCGAGATTGGATTACGCCGTAAATGCATTTCGCTGTTGTCGTCGAAGCTGGCCGTATACAGCCATATCCTTAAGGTCCTCGCCTGGCCAAATGGTTCTCTTGAGGGCAAATGGTAAACGCCTTAAAACCATAGTGCAATCGATGGTATGGCCTAAATTGAAGACCCCACATCCCGCCCAAGGTACTTAGCTTAGCTTGTTATTAAGTAGTGAGGACGCATACGTATTTCGTAAGCTACAATAATCGGCTTTCTCCTCTAATTACCATGTAAGGACACAGTGAAGGATTTGAAATTAGTTGAGGACTGCCAAAGGAGAAGACAAAGATTATAAATTCCTGCCAATTAAATCTGGACCATATTTAGTTTGCTTAATATAAACATAACCGATTTAGATTTATTATCGAATTAAACATTTGTATTTATTATATCTTAAAATTTATTTCATTTTTATACACATGTTGTTTTTTTTTATTTGACTTTTTTTATTTTTAAACTTTTTCTAGAAGTTTTTACTTGTTTCTTTGATTTATGTCAAATTTATTCAGATTCTGGCCAACTACCATAAAACAAATTCAGATTGCACCTGGGCTAAACTTCTACGATAAATCCCAATTGTGTAGTTACTAGTCGCTGCTCAATGTTTTCAACATGCAACAATTGTTATTGAAAAATTTTGCTGCCCTGTGCAACTTTTTCCGATCTAAAGTGATAAAAAAGACTTACGAAACTTGGCCCAAACAAAACCACATCATTAATGACTACTACAAATGCAAAAGGTTTCCACAGTTTCATTTAATATCGACTATGGCAGATAAAAAAAGGAAAACTTTAAACCTTTAACATTTTTAGCCCACTCTTCTCCCCATATTAAAAAAATGCGGTTTTTCTATGAATTGTTAATGCGATTTTTTGGCATGTTGCCTTTTGGCTGCCTGTATTGGCAAAAAATTTTAAAATATTTTTATTTGAACCATAAAATAGGTAACAAAAAAAAACGCAAATCAATTGTAAAAGTTTAAAAGTTGATAGAATTTAGAAATACACTTTTTTTTAAACTAAAAAAAAAGAATGGAAGCTGCAATTAATTTGTTACGGAAATATATTTTAAATGAATGTCATGTTTTTCAATGTGTATCCACTTAGTTGAAATGACTAGAAATATATTTTAATGGATATTTGATATAGGCTAAAATGTTTTGAGATAGGTATACATGCGCGGATCCATGGGGGGTGATGTGGGTGACAAATGAAAAAAATGTTGGTACTCAATAAATATGCAACAAAAAATTATTGTGATATTACCCCCTCAACAAAATCCTATATCCGCCACTGTAGATATGTATGGATATTTTGTTTAATATTTGTTCATTGCCAACTCGGTAAGGGTATAAAAAGAAAGGAAATGAAAACGGAATCAAGAGATTCCGGGCCTCAAACGGAAATGTATTGTGTCAGTCAGTCAAGTTATGACTCCGCTGTCCAGCGAAATGCAAATTTCAATTTAACTTGGTTGCAAAGACGTTGGCCAACAACTTTCGGATGCTCCGGAGAGTCTAGGGTCGTGCGGTTCCCATTTTCCGTGCAATTACAGGACGATGCCAGGACCAAAAACCAAGGAGACGGCGAGTAACGAAAACTTGTGTAATTGATATGTGTGGTGGCAACTTTCTAATAGAGCTCCTGACTCTCGACTTTGGTCCGTCCTGTTGGACAGTGCCGAAAAGTTTGCGGTCTCCGGAAAATTGGGGTCGCCATGCTACACACGTGGCTCAAGATTGAAGAGTGAAGTTCGACACAATTTGCCCACTAGATTGTAATTGGTTTTGCGGTGGATGCCATGCCTGCAGATGAAATCCGAAGGATAAACGCAGCACGAGCTGGCAATTACGAAAATTCAATTTGAAGCAACTAATCGGTTATTCGAGAAATGCTGATAGCATGAAAATTTTTATGAAATTAGTTTTACTTCTTGTTATTATTTTACAAATTTATTTTTTCAAGAAACTTTCGGTTTTTTATTAGTTTTGTGTTTGTAATAGGAACGTGTAGTAATAATAAATATTTGGCCTTTTATTTTTTCCATTTTTAAAAAACATTTTTGTGATAATGACCTCTGGTTTTTAACTATTAAAAAATAAACTTTAATAATTTTTGACCGTAGCTTTTAACGATCTTATATTATACCACTTTGTCCCCAAAAAGTCAAACTTTCTTAACTCGAATTTCTGTACAACTCGATTTAAATAATAAATATAATAGTAAAAATTTTCAAGGATAGATTTTTAAAAAAATGTTTACCTATGACTGACAAGAAATTTTAATTCTCTTTACACACTCAAAAATAATGGTATAATATAAAGGTAATCTGCAATATTGAAAATTTTTATAGAATAGTTAAGTCTTAAAGATTCTGTTAAAAATAAATTTGTTGAATTTTAAAGTAATTTTAAATACACAATCTACAAAAGTTTGAATAATTTTAAAAAAAGTTTTTCTCTTTCCTTAAAAGATTTTTCTTTACGACTTTAAATAATTTGTTTTTATTATTTCGAGGACGTCAATGAACATTTGTTTGCCAACTCATAATTGCTTAGACATCGTTTTCAATGACAACAGACCGCCTGTGACCTTTGACACGAGAATGCTCCTGGCATCTCCTCCTGCTGCGGATCCCTTCACCCCCGCTCCACCTTTAATCAACCGCCATAATTTTGTATGACATTCC